GCGGGCTCCGGATGGAGAGCAGTGGGCCCCGGGTAACAGGCGCTCTGCTCGTCTAGAGGGGTCACTGACTTTCAGGGGGTTTGGGAAGGAAGGGGGCTGTCTGTCAGGCACCGTCACAGAAAAGTTAAAGATAATCTTGTGTAGCCCTGGCCGGTTTGGCTCAGTGGATAGAGCATCGGCCCTCGGACTGAAGGGTCTCAGGTTCGATTCCGGTCAAGGGCACGCACCTCAGTTCCCCGGCCCTGGTCGGGGTGCGTGCTGGAGGCAACCAATCAATGTGTCTCTCTCACATCGATGCTTCTCTCTGTCTCTCCCTCTCCCTTCCTCTCTCAAAACCAATGGAAAAATACCCTCAGGTGAGGATTAACAAAAAAAAGTAAATAAAAAAATGTTTTTTAAAAGATGAGGTTCAGCTTTTTAGAAAGTTGCCTAATTTTTCCATTTCTAGTAAAAAAGAATAGAAACAGAAAGGTGAGCGCGTGTCTCCTAATTCGCAGTGTGCTAACATCTCCCCTCTTTCCCCCACACCCACCGCTTCAGATGATGGTGAATAGGACGACTGAGGTACGGTACCAGCTTATGCCAACATACGCCTTGTTTTCATTTATTTTTTAGTTTTTGCCCAGTTAGAATAAATGCTCACTAACTTCACTAATGATGGTACTTCCCTTATTAGGAAATGGATTTGGAAACGTTTCCCATAATTAAGGGACTGGGTAATTCCAGACATTGAATGTCGCATATGTCTGAAGCAGTATTTACCCAGGGAACGTGTGGAATGGCCCGTTAGCATGGAGCGTGGAGCCAAACTCCGTCTGAAAGCAGGTCCCTCTGGGGCTTGGCTGCTTTGCCGACGAGCTGTGCCCTCTGGACGAGGGTCCCCAGGCCCGAGCTCAGACGGTGACCTGGGAGGAGGTGTGCTGCCCGCCTCGTCCCGTCTCTAACCACAGGTGCCCCCCTGATAGGCTTTTCCCACATTGTCCTTCATCAGTGATGACACTGACCGTGTCCTGAGAGAGCACGTGCCTCGTAATGCTGTCTCAGTGCTTGTCACTCGGCCGTCTATTTCCAGAGCACAGGCAGTCCCAGCCCTCAGCACAGCGTCAGGTCGAGGCCTCAGTGTAGTGCGTGTGCGCGTGTGCGTGCACGTGTGTTTAGTGGCCTCTCCATGCCTGTGGCCGCCCACTGCTCAGAGGCCCTCGCATGCACTGTTGAAAGTACATTAGAAGCAGGAACCTCCCCCCTCCCCCGTCCAGGGACTCGTATATAGATTTTCACTCGGACGGGCCTCTGCGAGCGCTGGGCTGGAGACCAGCCTCCACACACAGTGTTACTGGGAGTCGTGTGTCTAGGCCTAGCTCCTGGCTTATCAACCACACGACCCATGGAGACGTAAATAAACTTGGGTTATCATACCTTTCCTCCTGTTCCATCTGTGTGCATGGAACTCAGGGCAGAGATTAAAAAAACACAAAAACCAAAACACACAGGCCCATCTGCTTGGCGAGGGGCTCAGATGGAGCTGCCCGGATGGCTGTCTTAATTACGGGTTTAAAGCCTCTAACTGTTTAGGTCAGTGGTCGGCAAACTCATTAGTCAGCAGAGCCAAATATCAACAGTACAACGATTGAAATTTCTTTTGAGAGCCAAATTTTTTAAACTTAAACTACATAGGTAGGTACATTGTTATTAACTTAATTAGGGTCCTCCTCAGGCTTAGGAAGAGCCACACTCAAGGGGCCAAAGAGCCGCATGTGGCTCGCGAGCCACAGTTTGCCGACCACGGGTTTAGGTGACTCTGGTGGTTGAGATGCATTTCTGAAGCAGCCCTGCTCCACGCGTGTGCTGGAAGCGCCGTTTGGGAAGCCTCGCACTGAGGCAGAAAGGGTCTGTGAGGACACGGAGTCTCAGGGGGGGTTTTCCTGGGCGACTGCAGGTGCGGAGCCCCGCCCCCCCACGTGGCTCAGGGACTCCCCCCGG